TTAGCAAGATCATAACCATAATAGATGCGGCCCCAAACTACAATCAACCTCACAAATTATTAATATTTTTATAGGCTTTTTTTTATTTTTCCAAACACCTCTCAGATATGTTCTAAATTCTATATAAAAGTATTTGATTCCTGAATTTTTTTAATGCCTAAACAAACATTTGGATCAGTTCACACTCTTAATATCTATCAATATATATATATATATATGTTCATCAATGAATCCAAAATAAGGGAGATGACATGATTTAAATATTAGCTGAGCAGATACACATTTTTCTTCCTCTTAAGACAACGCTTTCATCACCTCGACTTCAAGTTTTGAACATGTTTCTGGTTCTGAAGGGAGGAGCAGAGGAAGAAGAGAACATCTTTATTGCTTGCAAAACATCCCAAACTTGTGTGAGTGTGCATGCATGCTATTGTTCATGCGTTTCCTTCTCATTCATTCTCCTTCCTTCACACTCCTTAGCAAGATCCAGAAGTAGACCCTAGTGAAGAAGGAGCTCATTCTCGTGCTTTCTCTTCTCTTTCTCGGTCACTCTCACTCTTTCGGTCTCTTTTTTTTTTGTGTTGCCTCCTCTTCGTCTCTATGGCTTTATGCTCTCTCTTTTTTTTCTCAATTTTTTTCGGTCTCTCCCTCTCTTTTTTCAATTTTTTTTCGTGCTCTATTTTTTTCATTTTTTGTCCAGCTGTGTTCTCTTCTCTTCGTCTTTGTCTCTCCTCATTTTTTTGTCCCTATTCTGGGCTCTCTCTCGTTCAGCTTCTCTATTTAGTCATCCTCAAACTTCTTAGCTCTCCTTCTTCTAGTGTTTCTCTGTCTCTTCCTTTCCATTTTCATGCTCTGTTTTGAACGCCGTCCATGCTCTATTTTTTCTTCATTTTTCTCCCCCTCCAATTTTGATCTCTCCTCCTTTTTATTGCTGTTTTCTGCGTCTGCTCTTTTCTCTTCGTCCCCCCATTCTCGGTCTCCTCCTCTTGCTTTTCATGAGAGCTCGGTTTATCATTGAAGCTACAGAATGCCATGCATGTCTCCTCCTCTCTCATTCGTGCCAAACTTCTTTTTCTGTGTGAGTCTGCGTTCTCTCTCTTGTGTCTTTTATTTGTGCTCTTTTTCAGCTAGCGTGTGGGTGCTGTGTTTTCTGTGTGCTTCTTCAGTGTGCATAACTGCATTTTCTGCTCCGTGCTCAAGCTCCGTACATGCATGTCCCTTTTTCAATCCATTCTTCTTTTTTTTAATGTTTTTTTATATTAAAGGAGGGAAAGGAAAATTTAATTTTAAAATATATATATATATATATATTTAAATGGAGAACAAAAAGATTTAAGGAGAGAAATTTAAAAATATTTGAGTCTAAAAAAAAATTAATTCTCAATATTTTTGAAGGGTTGGGATAATTTAGGAGAGATTTAAAAGATTTAAACAAGATTTTTTTTATTTTGTTAAAATTATTTTTTTAAAAATATAATCCTAAAAAAGGATTAAATTTCATTTTTGTATCTTTATATATATTTTTGGTTATTTATTATTATTTTTATTAAATTAAAGAAATGTTCAGACAAAATACAGTGTTCACAATTGTATCTAATAATAATTTTGATAATTTTCTATAAAATAGTTCTAAATAAAATCTTTCTTCTTTTAAGTCTCCAAGCCTTGCTTCATAATAATATTTTTTGTATTCACATATAAAAGTATTTAGATATTCTGGTTCTAAAAAATATAATTATATTTCATGTAATATTTTTATTGTATTTTTTTTACTTACTTCATTAATATCCTGTGTTACTCCTGTAAATTCATTTCTTAAAGCTTTTTGATATTTTTCTATAATCATTGCATAATATTCTCTTTTATTTTCATAACTTTTATCTGGCTTTCTAAAATTTTCTCTAAATTCATGAGATTTACTTTTTCACCAATTTTGTACATTTCCTACAAATGTTGCTTCTATTAATATAGTTACAGTTTATATGTCTACATTTTTTCCTGTTAATGCTATTAATATTGATTTTCCCCATTCTTTTATTATTTTACCATTATCTAAATTACAATCTAAATCCAACCATATTTTTAAATTTGATATTTGTTTACTTTCATATTGTGCTAAAGGTGTTGGTATAAATTCATTATTTTTTTTATATATTGAATATAGCTTGAAAAGGTATATTATTACAATCTATTTTATTTAGTTTTACAAAGTCTGTTTCATAATATACTTCTCTCTTATCTGGTTTTAACATTCTTTCATCTATCAGTTCTTCTGATATTTTACTAGATTTTACATTTCTATTATTATAAGATGAATAATCTAAATTTGGTGGTATAAAGTTTTGAGGCATTCGATAGGGTTGTTATTATTGTTGTTGTTTATGGATTACTAATTGTAAATTTTGCATATTTATAAATCCTTCATCATAATTATTATTTATCAAATATTTGTATTCTTGTTTTATTTTTCCTAATTCTTCTCTTTCTTCATTTTCTTCATTTTTTAATAATTTTTGTAATTCTATTTCTAATTCGTCTGATTGACCTTCTATTTTATTTTCTATTTTATCTATTGCTTGAGCCATATTTATTTTTACACTTTGTTGTGGTTTTTGTTGAATTTTATTTTTAAATTTATAATTATAATTTTCTAACATTATTTCTGCAACTCTATTTATACTCTCCCATTCTTCTTCATCTATTTCATTTTCTCCTCTTAATTCTCTTTCTATTTCTTATTTTTTTTCAGTCATATGTTCATCTTTAACTATTCTCATCATATTTACTTGATACCATTCTTCTTCTACTTTATTATGAGAATTTATTCTTAAGTATTCTATTATTTTATAAATATTATGACTTATCATACTTTGTTCAGTTCTTAATCTTTTTGTATCATGTTTTATTTCATCTAATTTTTTATTATAATCTTTCTTTATGTCAGATACTTTTTGTTCTAAAGATTTAGCATATTCTTTAAGTCTTTTCATTTTTTCTCTAGGGTTTTCTTTTTCTAACATTATTTGTACTTCTTCTAATAACATTCTTATTATTTCTTTTTTATTAAATAGATGTTCTAAATCTTTTATATTTTCATTTATATAACAATCTAATTGTTTCATTAAAAATATATTTGTTCAATTTGCTTGATTACTTATACTATCTCCTTCTCCTCCTAATAAGAAAGGTACTAAAATACATGACAAATTTTCTATTGGAATATAAGAACTTTCTAGAATTTTATTTTGTTCTACTTCATACATTTTTGGTTCAATTGTTTTTATAATATTCATGGAGAAACTTCTTCTAATATTTGTATAATTGTATAACTTATATTTAGGAAAATTAAAAGATTATTTTCAAGAAGGAAGAAATTCACCAATAGAATTATTAATAATTGATGGAAAAATAATAAGTAGTGTTGAAGACAGTATTTTAGAAATATTAACTAAAAATTTAATATATCATAAGTTAAAATTTACAGTAAATACTAACTTTTGTATTTCAAGAGTTGATAAAAATATAAATAAAACCTTGTCAATATATCATAAATTAGGAGGAATAAAATTATTATCAGGATCAAGAACAATAAGTATAACTATCATGATAGGACTAGTATTTACAAATGAATATAAAATTTATAAAAGAAATAAAGGCAAATTAACAATTGATAAACATTTTATGCCTGTATTACAAGAAATTGAATTAGATCCAACAAGAATAATAATGCTTAAACAATTAAGATTAGAATTAGATAATATAGTAGGATATTATGAAAATAAAAACAATTCAAGAAGATTAATAACTAATAATAATATTAGCCAAAGATCATTAACTTGTAAAATTTAAAAAACAAGAAAAATATGCTTGTGTAGTATTAGAAAAGAAACACCCTATAGAATCAATATTAACAGAAGGAGTGTTAAGAATATCATTAATAAGTAAAGTTTTAATAGATACTGAAATTAATAAATTATCATTTAAAGATGAAGTAACAGAAATATATATTACTAGAGTACAATTATTAGTAAAAGCTTATTTTCATACACACATATGAATATATATATTTCGAAAACATATATATATATATATATATATAATTATATTTTAAATTTTATATTTCATATAAATATATATAAATATTTATTAAATAAATATTCACATATATATAATTCAAAAACCTTATATTGCATTCATTGAATCTAAACATATTCCAAATTCAATGAACTTAGACAATATAGCTCGAGTTAGGTTATTTTTGTGTGTGACCCTGTAGGCACATGAAATTGGTAGTAGGCTAATTACGCTATTAACTCACAAGTCATAAATGATCTTTAGCAAGACATTACAACTACTCAATTCACATAGGGATTGATGATCTGATGTAACCTATATGCAACTGTATCACATCTCTTTTGTCATGCGATATTTTGATCAAGTGTGAGAGATGAAATTGTCATTCTCTTTTACTTGACTGTTACTTTCTCGATCTTTGAGTAGACGGACAGGAGTAATGAAAAAATCTTTTTCATTGTAGTATGATCATATATTTTCTCAGTATTATGCATCAAGGGGCCCAGTAATATCTCTCACTTAATGTGAGGGATAAATTTCATCTTAACCACTCATATTCCTTTGCATGAATATCACTAAACTCAATCATAGCCTTTTATGATCACCCGATCAAAGGTGACTTTTGACTAGATCAAAGTTCAATGGTCATCATGTAGGAATCCATGATGATCTCTGGTCAAAGGATTTAGTGATATAGTTATATATGAGATAAGCTTATAACTTATACCATGCAGCTTTCTCATAATGAGTCGGTCTAGCACCTTGTACTCTTTCAAGTGTCTATGACTTTAATTTGTATATTTATAATTAATCAAAGTCATACTAGTCTTATTTTATCTATGATCCCTCATAGATGATCGATCAGGAACATTTATGACAATCACTATAATTTGTCCAAGGATATAGTTATCATATTAAACATGCAATTGATATGATAATAAAAAAATTTATTAAATAACAATGTGCATAGAACGATTATTAACCCTAAAACACAATTTCCGACACTCTCTAAGCCCATTTTATTAACTCATTTCATTCTTTAATATTTATATACTAAGAGAGTTCTTTATTGAAGCAATGTGGGACTTTTGACACACACACAACACCTTGATGGTTGAATCTTCTCCAAAAAGAATTTCATCCATGATGACTATGTGATTGCGTGCAATTTCTTCGAGTAGACTCAGAGAAAAACCATCGAAGCTTCTCAGTAAGACTTCGTCGAGGTTGACATAGTCAAGGGGACTGAATGGAGTGCCATGAGAGAGTTGATTTCCACGCTTGACATGAACCCATCTGAGACGAACCTTAACTTTAAAATGAGGGCGCTCTGGTGTTTCGCTGATCTCATGAAGAGGTAGAGATGATGCTATGTTTAGGGTAAAGCCTGCTGGATCATCGTAGAAATGATCAAAGACGGAGGTCAAGAGATGACTCCATCTGTAATGTCTGCTAGCTTGAAATCTTGGTGGGAAGAAGATTTCTCTAATCAATCCAAAATGAAAGAGCTTTTCAAAATTGAACATTGTTAAATCAATAATAGCTGGCCAAATTTGGTGCACCTTAAGTTGCAGACCGACATGGAAGGTCTTGCGGATGTGGGCTTATCCCAATCCAGGTGCTTGGTGGACAAAGCAAAATTCGTTTTGCTGTTTTTGGACAGAGAGAAGGGTATCTCTTTGTTTTTGGATGGCTTGTCTAGAGATAATCTACAAAATATTATCAGGAAGTAGATCGGTGAACTGCTTTCTAAACGAGGGGCATAGAAGTAATTTAATTTCTTCTTTGGCTGGGTCACTGTTCGAGGAACAAGGGACATTTAAAGACAACAAGGTTTTTTGGAACGTGAATTCCAGGTTTAGCTTTTGTTGTATGACTGAACTTAGGACTTCAGTTATTGAATCCACCTGTTCCTGCAACAAAGGTAATTCGTCAGTGGGTGTTTCAGTTCCAGAGGAAATCATCTGTGAGGATGACTCTGAAATAATCTCAAACGACTGAGAGCTTGAATGCTTTAAGGGGTGCGATGGACCTGCTCTTTCCTTACTGACGCACTCTTACTATGAGAGGTCGAGTTCAAATCTAGAAGATGCACGTGTAATGCGTTAAGCGCATTAACCATCTCTTCTGGTTTGTGTTTTGCTTGCCAGATAGCATTAATGAGGGATTGCTGAGGCAAAGTTAGCTGTTTCGCATTATTAAGGAAGCAAAAATTTATGGATCACGAAGAGACCATGGCTGGTATGAAATATTTTTCGAAGGAAAACATTTCAATCTTCTCCGATTTCTTAGAGGATTGAGTTTATGCTTGTCCTCTGCCTGTTGCCATTCTGAAAATTCTCCTTTTCATGGGCGAGAATCCTGAAAAGCAAATCAGCAGATACATTATCAACTCCTTTAATATGTTCAATTAACAATTGTATTTAAAGAAATCAGATAATCAGTGAATAAAATCTATCTATTAGCGTTGTAAGCCTTTTGAGGGATTCTATTATAGAAAGTAACAATGGCGTTACTATCCGTGCGAAGTACATACTTCGGTTTATCATATATAAAAATTTTGAACTTATCCAAAACTTTTATACATGGCAAAATCGCAGCATCAATTGCGTTGACTTCAGTACTGAAACCACCACTACAATATTGAGTGATCTGTTCTTTAAATTTATGAGAGTGTTCATTTAGTCTCCATTTTAATACCCACCCCATCCTTCCAGACATCATCTATTTTTACAATGAAAAACGTTCTTCGTGAAAAATTAAAATCCTTTTTATCCCAATGACGTTGTTGGTGTCTCGATCACAAATATTCCTGTCTTTGCCGGTGACTTTCCAGAAGCCGAGCGACGTTGTCCTGTTCAACCGAGTACTTTTAGAGTACTTATAATCACAAGGGGTGAAGAAATAGCATTCTGAGTCATCGAACTTGATCACCGAAGTCAATTTAGCAGCCCAAGCTGGAGGAGAAGCAAAATCGAACGCCACAGGGTAAGATTGCGAAGTATTAAAAAAAACAAAATTAAAACAAAAGAATTATAGAAGGATACCTAACAAATCCCAGGGTTCGAACTTGCAAACGTCAATCTCAGGGATGGCGACGTTAATGGATGGATTATCAGCCTTCAATCTGTGGTGAAGGTAGTAAGCGACGAGCTCTTCTTCCGTCGGATGGAATCTGTATCCCACCGGCATACGTTTCCGCTTAAAAGGTGGATCCGCCATGGTTGCGTTGGAAAGGGCAATGAGAGAATTTGAGGGAGACGACGACGATGCTTGACGTGCATGAACAAGAGAGAGAGGGGTGGCACTCGTGAAAGGGTAGAGAAAGCGCTAGGACTGACTGAATCACTTGAAGCTTTACCTTCTGACAACCTACCTACCCAACCTTTTATAAGGAGTCACAAATAAGCAGTGAAAATTAAGATAAATTAAAGGGAAAATTTTAATAAAAGATACTTGTTTTAATTCCCGGACACAGTTTAAAAATTTTATTTGATCTTATTTTTAAATTATGGTATAATTTTTTTAGATAATATTTAAAAAACATTTTTAAAATTATCTTTTATAAAAAAATAATATAATATTACTTTTTAAATTTATTATATAGAACATATTTAAAATTCTACACTTTTATTCCTTTGTATTTTTTTTATATTGATATTGATAAGATTAATAAAAATGACTTATAAAGAAGATTAAATAGTACTTGATTAAACTTATTTATATTTAAAGTCTTTAAATTTTTAAAATTTTATTGCAGTTTAAGAGTACTAATTTAAAATTAAATTTCTAAGAAAAATAATAAAATTATCCCTCTTTTAAATTACTACCAAAACTTCCTTATTTTACTCATTAATTATCCAATTTTATCTTTTTAGTTACTTACAAAATATTAGTAATTATATTACTTAACTTATTTTCATGTTAGGTATTTAAATCATTTTAAAATAACTTGTTGATTCTTGTTTATTTACTTTTGAACTATTGTTAATTGTCCTACTTACTTATTTATTATCAAACTTTTACTTAATTTTATTCTAAAAATATAAACAAGTAAAGATGGGTAATTAATAATATTTAGTAAGTAAATGAATAAGTAACATAGGACATTTGTGATATTAATTTTAATGAAGGATAATTTTATTATTTTTCTCATAAATTTAATATTAAATTAATATTACTGAATTTTTACAGTAAAATTTTAGAAACTTAAGAGTTTTGATCGTAATTAAATATGATTAAGAGATTTTTATTGAAATTCTCCGTAAATTAAAAGATGATGTGGGAGGTCCAGTCCAGTGATATTTGAACACGTATGGAGTTGAGAGTCACCAGCTAAAGCGCGTGAAAAAGGAGGGATCTTCTGGGAACTTTTCTCAGTGCAGTACAAAATTAAAGCTAAGCCTATGATTTTTTGCATAAAAAAAAGGGCTAAGGCTATGATTTTATATTATACAGTTTGGAAACTTGCTATCCAAGTTGTTGGCCCAAAAAACAAAAAGAAAAAAAAAGAAAGAAAAGAAACTTCCTTCCCAAGTTTTACGGTTAAGCTGGCTTCAGAGCAAAAGCATGTTACTGAAAATTCTAGAATGGTATCTAGCAAAAGAAATAAACAATAAATATAAAGACAACTTACTCGCCAAGTTTAAAAATTTGCATTTTTTTTAAATCCTTCATATCAGGCAAAAGTAATTGGGAGATGATAGATATCACGTATGAATAGAATTTACATGGCAGGTGGGAAGGTTAATTACAGATACATTTTTTTAAAAAATTTAGAAGCCCATACAAACTTCCCGTAAAATTAATAATCATAAAATACAAATTTTTCTTTTACTTTAAATTTAAATAATTCATTTCCATCCTTTAAAACATTAATTGATCATTAAGTTATTTGTATTAAACTAAAATACCCTTATTTAAACATTAATCTTATCTAATAATCATTTTAAGGTACCCAAAAATTAATGCATATATATTTTTTAATTTTTTATTTATATTTTATTTTTAGAAAAATTAATCATTCGATTCCAGTAATTTTGACCTAATGTTGGTGGTAGCAGTGTAAAATTTATTCTGAGTCGTGTTGAAAGACATTGTCCTTAAGAATAATTTTGACACAATTGTCAGAACTTTCTAAGATTAAGTGAAACCCTCCTGTAAAATAAATAGGGTGACAGAATAATAAAAATAATTTTAAAAAATTTGAACTCAAGAAACAATACACAAGAGAGGAAGTGAGGGTTGTTCAAAAACTCAAAAGCTTAACATTTTGTCTCATGCACATGTGGCTATTTATAAGAATGATTTATGCTTCATGAACAGCACCATGATTTCACCAGTTGCAATAAAACTCTATAAGTAACCATTAAAACAATAATGTGTAAATAAAGACAAATTCACCGTATGAGAATATTGAAAATCAATACGAGCATATCCATTTAAAAAGTCATCATTACTTCACAATTTGAATGGAATAAAATATCATCATGGCATGTGGTTTTCAACATTGCAAAAGAATTAAAAGGCCAATTTGAATGTAGTAATTAGATGGCCTATTAGGATATAGCAATGGAAAGTTAAATTATGGCTGACGTTTTCTGACAAGCTAATCAAGGACAATAAGTTTATTATTTGAATTTAAATTTAAACTAACGTAAATGAAGAGTTTTTTAAATAAATATTTTTAAATTTTGTCAAAAATATTTTTATAAATATTGCTAAGACCTCTCCTCTCATGTAAGCAATGGGAAATTCATCTTTTGACACATTAACACAGTAATAACAACAATTCCCTACATAAGTCCAAAGAACCTTATCATCTAAGTTACAATTATAAGTATAACCATATTAAATTTGGTGTCTTTTGGACTATGAACCAGACTTAGACCAATACTACTTAGTACACAGAGAAGTTAGTGAAGCATGCTTCTATGAACTAACAACTCTTGGGTGTATACTAGAGGCCTTATCAGTCAAATTATGCCCTTACAATTTCTAGTATTAATGGTGGTTTTGCGCTTTGACGGCTATATGTGTGCCTAGTATTTCAATAAATGCTCTAGAGATTTCGTCATGATCTCATAGGAGTGGCCCTACTCCACATTTGTCTAGGTGATTTCATCAATTGTATCTGCAATTAATACACCTTCTACAAGGAACATAAAATCATTAAGAGCTTTGCTTTGCCTCACCAATAATGCATTCTAACACTTTCTCATACACTATATGAAGAGGGACAAAATAATTTTAATATTAATAGAACTAACAAATGATTTATTCTTACCCATATAAACCTTCTTCATGGGATTACCAATCGTAAAGGTTGGATTACCATCATTGTTAGTTTCGAATTGGCTTAAGTCCCATTTCCCTCAATGTTTCTATAATTTGTTTCTTCCTTAGGGGTTTAGTCAACAAATCAGCTAGATTCACTTCTAATCTTACATAATCGATTAAGATGACTCCATTTTTAAGCAGCTACCTTATAATATTATGTCTCAATCAAATATACCTACTCTTGTCATTAAAGGTCTTATTTTTAGCTGTAGCTATCACTAATTGACTATCACAATGTAAAGATACTATGGTGTTAATTTTTCACCTAAAGAAATATTTGCTAAGAAGTTTTTCAACCACTCAAATTTAATACCAACCAACTCCATAGCAATAAATTTAGAATCCCTTAAGGATTTTGTCATAATATTTTTTTTGGCTGACCTCCAGGTTACTGTACCACGACCAAGAATGAATATATACCTACTAGTGGATTTTGTCTCTTCTGAATTTGAGACCTAGTTAGCATCACTGTACCCTTCTAATACAGTAGGAAATCCACTATAAAATGTACCATAATTCATGGCACCTCTCAAATAATTCATTACTCTTATTAGAGCTATCCAATGTTTACTTCCTAAGTAATGTGTATATCTGCTCAATTTATATACAGTATATGCTATATCTGGCTTGGCAAACTTCACCAAATGTAATAGACTTCCAATGATCTGTGTATACTTAGATTGAGCCATTGGATCACCTTTGTTTTTAACTAATAGCACACTTAAATCATAAGAAGTAGTCAAATAAGACTCATCAAAATGACCAAACTTTTTAAATATTTTTTCAACATAATGTTCTTGAGAAAAAAAAATACCATCATCCTTCCTTATGATTTTGACACCCAAAACAACTTTTGCTTCATCTATATCTTTCATATTAAAATTTAATGAAAGAAAGCATTTAATTTCAAAAACAATATCCATGCTTGTACCAAAAATAAGCATGTCATCCACGTAAAGACAGATAATCACATAATCATTATTTATAGATTTTGTATAAACACATCTTTCCATTTCAACGATTGAAAAATCACCACTTGTCAATACATGATCTAATTTTTCATTCCATTTATTTAGGAGCTTGTTTCAAGCCATATAAAGATTTAACCAATTTACAAACTTTATTTTCTTGGCCAGAAACTACACATCCTTCAGGTTGCACCATATATATCTCTTCTTCTAAATCACCATTTAAAAATATAATTTTAATATCCATTTGGTGAATAAATAACTTGTAAACTGAAACCAAAGCAATAAAAATTCTTATAGAAGAAATTCTTGTTACTGGAAAAAAGGTGTCAAAATAATCAACATTTTTTTTTATGTAAAACCTTTAGCAACCAACCTTGCTTTGAATTTATCAATAGAATCATCAGGAAAATATTTTTTTTTCCTAAAAACCCATTAACACCCAATAGGTTTCGCACCTATAGGTAAATCTACCAAAACCCAAGTTTTATTCTGATTAAGAGAATCAATTTAAGCTTTTATAGCTTCTTTTCAAAGATGAGTATCAAGAGAAGAAATGGCCTCATAAAAATTACATGATTCATTTTGTATTAAATAAATATAAAAATCATCTCCAAAAGTATTTTCCTTTCTTTGCCTTTTACTTCTTCTTAAACCTTCACTTAAATTTTTATTTGAAATTTGTTTAGAAGAAGAAGGAAAATTTTCTCCTCTTTAAGGTAAAAGTTATTCCTTTAAAGGAAAAACACTTTCAAAAAACTTTGCATTTTTGGTCTCTATAATAGTATTGTAATCCAGAATACCACTTTTTAAAACTAGAAATCTATAAGTAGCACTGTGTTCATCATAACTAGTAAATATACAATCAGAAGTTTTAGAACCCAATTTTCTCTTTTTAGGGTTAGGTAATAAAAATTTTGCAAGACACCCCCACACTTTCAAATAATTAAGATTTGGAGGAAAACCTTTCCAAAGCTCATAAGTGGTTTTATTCAACTTCTTATAAGAAATTCTATTTTATAAAAAACAAGCAAATAATAATGCTTTACCTCATAGATTATCTGATGCAGAAGAACTTACAAACATAGCATTCATCATTTCTTTTAAGATTCTATTTTTCCTTTCTGCAACACCATTAGACTCAGGCGAGTAAGGAGGAGTTACTTTATGAATAATACATTTTTTTTCACAAAAATCATTTAATAAAATATACTCCCCTCCTCTATCTGAGCTTACTCTTTTAATTTTTCTATTTAACTGATTTTCTACCTCTGATTTATATAAAAGAAATTTTTCAAAAGTTTCATATTTATTTTTTAATAAATATACTTTGGTATATCTTGAAAAATAATCAATAAAAGTAATATCATAATTCTTACCTTCTCTAGTCATTGTTTGTTTTAAATTTTTCAAATTAGTGTGTATCAAAGATAGTAACTTAGTTTCTCTTTGGGTAGAAAAATGAGATTTTTTTAATTTGCTCAGTTTTTGCACATACTTCACATTTATTTGAATCATTATCTTTAAGTTTAGAAATTAATTCAAGATGTTGCATATTTATTATATAACTTTTACTAACATGACTTAACCTAGAATGCCATAAATCAAATGAATCAACCATATAAGCATAAAAATAATCAGAAGAGGATGCATTCTTATTCATTTTATCAACAACATCTAACACAAACAGTCCTTGGTTACAATAGCCATTTCCCACAAATACATTATTTTTTATCATTATAATTTTATCAGATTCAAATGACACTTTAACCTCGACCTTCTTTAGTAGAGCCACAGAAATCAAATTTGCTCTAACATCTGGCACATATAGAACATCATTGAGAGATAGCACTTTTTCAGATGTGAGTTTAATATCAACTTTCCCTTTCCCTTGAACTTTTGCAGTTTGAGAGTCAGCAAGACAAACTCGATCTTCACCTTCCTTGATAGGAATATAAGAAGAAAACATATCCCTATTTGCACAAATGTGCTTGGTAGCCCTAGACTCTACCATCCATTTTTTCACATCAAAAACAACAAGAGCCTGGAAATCATAGAAACAATGATCTCTTCATCATTGTTTACATCTCCTTGAACCAAATTAACATTTAGCTTAGGAGGATTATCTCCTTTAGCTCTTCTCTTGCACTGAGCAGCATGATGCCTTTATTTACCATAGATATAACAATTTCCTTTCTTTTTGAACTTAGAGTTAGAATTCCTAAGCTTGTAATTAAGCTTTTTATTTTTAGAGTCATACCTTTTGTTGTATGATTTTGTTTCCAGCAAGTTTACAAAGTCATCATTACTTCACAATTTGAATGGAATAAAACATCATCAAGGCATGCGGTTTTGAATGTTGCAAAAGAATTAAAAGGCCTATCTGAATGTAGTAATTAGATGGCCTATTAGGATATAACAATGGGAAGTTAAATTATGGCTGACGTTTTCTGACAAGCTAACCAAGGACAATAAGTTTATGATTTGAATTTAAATTTAAAGTAAGATAAATGAAGGATTTTCTAAAAAACTCTTTTAAATAAATATTTTTGAATTTTGTCAAAAATATTTTCATAAATATTGCTGAGACCTCTCCTCTCATGTAAGCAATGAGAAATTCATATTTTGACACACTCACACAATAATAACAACACCTAATTATAATTCAGTTCTTAAATTTTGACTTATTGTAATTCAACACTTATAGTTTTAATTCAAATGTAACTTAGTCTCTAAATTTTGTTTCTTACAACTCAGTTCTTATAGTTTTAACTACTTAAATATTAATTTTTTATATTTTTAAAAATACAATTATAAAAATAAAAAATATTTTAAACTTTTAACATTTATAATATTTATAAAAATTAAAAGGATTTATTAATTTAAAATATTAGTAATAAATTTTAACATAATTTAAATTTTTAAGATATAGGGACTAATATTTAAATGATTAAAAATATTAAGAATTGAGTTGTAAGAATTAAAGTTTAAAGATTGAGTTATGACTGAATCAAAATTATAAAAATTAAATAATTAATTTTTCTTAAAATATATAAATGTCATATATTTTAGACCAATCTATATCTATATTATAGTTTAAAGAGAGTAGGATCTGCACCCTAACAATTGATCACAAAAAATAACGCTATTAAAGAGTTATGTGATGCTTGATGAGTTAGTAATTGAACAAATTTACTATCCTCCTTAACATGATCAAGCCTGCCATTCTAGGTTTGCATGGAGAGTTCTATCAAGTACTTCCTCTATTTTTATATATATAAAAAATTATATCATACAGTTTAAAAAAATTAATTGACCATAATAATTATGTTTGAAAATAAAAAAATTAGACTAAAATACACCATGTTAATCAACATAAGCATACATTAATTATTTTTTATTAATATAAATTATGAGGGGTGATTTAAAAAATATATAATAAATGCTTATTGAAATAAGTGATTTTGCTTATATAAAAAAAAGTAAAAAGTGATAGCTTTTTCTACAAATAAAAATGGAAGGACTTACTGATTACAGCCTACTTCCTCAATTCTTTTATAAGTAATTTCTACTAACTTCATTAATAATACAAAAAAAAAGTAGAAGGAACAAAAATGTGTAAAATTTTAAATATGCTCTCATATAATAAATTTAAAAATTAATGTTATATTTTTTCTCTCATGAATGGTAATTTTAAATTTTTTTAAATATTATCTAAAAAACTGCATCATGATTTATAAATAAAATTAAATGAACATTCTAGAATGTGATTTTTAAATGAAATAGAAGGGAATATAATTTTTTTTTGGACAAAATTATATTTTTGATTTTGACACAGACCTAGCTTGACTTACTAGTTACTAGTAAGGTCCTACTTACCGTTATGATGTGTAAGTGCGAACGTGAAGACGGAAATTTGGTTAATTGCTAGAAGCCCGGAACACGAAAATTAGATTGACCGATCTCACGCGTTTCCAATGGATCATTCAGTTCTGTAAAATTATTATTCTTTTTCAAAGCATGTTTCAATTTTTAATTTTCAAATTTCAACTTTCAAATTTCTCATTAACATACCAAAAAATTCCCTTTAATTTTTTCATTGTAACATAGTTGGTTAAAAACAATTTATTGTACTATATGTAAAATTTAAAGAGAGAATCATGGCTATACTTATTTGGTCAGAAAAATTATAACTAGGCAAAGCAAATTTTCTTGAAAATTAAATTGCAAATATGAGTCCAAACAGGTGCCAGTGGTACCTGCGATACTATTGCGGCACTGCCAACAATGAAAACAAGGGAGGGAAGAGGGAATTTTGTTTTTCAATTGATCAAGAGCATTTTGGTCAATACACTTTTTTTCCTTTTCTTTTGGGGTGAAAAGGACCAAGGTCCTGCAAAATTATTTCTGAATTTCAAGATCCTTAAGCATAATTCTCCCCTTTGGCCCAAAAAAAAAAAAAAAAGAGCATAATTCTTCCCAAGTGTATAATGTGGGCTAGTGTATATATCCCATAGCACAGCTTGGCATGGTTTCTTGTTTTTCCCCTAGTTTTTTTTTTTTCAAAGTTACTCATGGGTTATAAGTATCTTTCTATTGAATACACTTTTATTTAAGTCATTATTAAATATTAAATATAAGCAAATCTTTTAATGAGAATTTAAACATTGATTTGCAATGTTATAACATCTCTTTCCCCCAGTTAGTTTGGCCAAACTTTGCACTGCTTAATCAGGCCCAAAGTGAACGTGCATACATTTTGAGGAGCTCAATGCCTACCTTACAAAGTTACCATACATTTTTCAACCAAAAAAAAGTTATCATACATTAATTGCCTACATTTAATGACCAATAGTATTTTGAACAAAATTACTTCCAATAGAATAATGACTATAAATAACTAAAAAAAAGTTATGATACATTTTCGAACGAAAGGCTATGTTTCGTTAACCTTCAAACAAAGATTTTGGTAGTCCAGATCAAGGTTTTGAACCTACAATTAGGATTGGGGCCAAAAAAATCATGCTTGGATAAAAATTGGAGAGAAATGGCTTCTTGTTCAAAATAAAGGTTAGCTCAGAAGTTGCATTTTAGTGCTTATTGAGATAAGTTGCATTAGTAGATTTAATGCTATTTAATTTTTTTTGACCAGCTAGAAATTATGTGTTACCCTTATCCTCTCTTGTGATCTCTACTACTAAATTAAGTGCATGTTTGGTATGTAAAAAAGTGTTTTCTATTAAAAATATAGAGAGAGAAATGTATTTAAAAAGAAAATGAAACAAGTACATTTCTCATATCCTTTTTAAAAATTACTTTTTTATTTATCAAATACGTATCATCTCTCTCTCTCTCTTCTCTCTAATCATTTTTACTATTGGTATACGCGAGCTTTTGAAATTGTCATTGAAATATCATTCAAACAAATTTCAATTTATTAAATTAATTTTTTAAGAAAAAAATTATCAAAACATAAATCATGTTATAACAATTAACTTCTATCCCAATTTCAAATTACAAATTTCAATTTATGAAAACTTCAGTTTCGACAACTCCAACCCAAACAGACTAAAAATTAGAAGGGATATACCCTCGATCAATCGCATTTTTAGATGAAAATTTCCCCTCAATTTCTCCCTATCCATGGCTAACACTTGTCAAAACATGTACATGCCTTGTGCTTGACACTTTTAAAGTGAAATAACAGAAGAAATACCGCTGATAATTCTACCAGAAAAATAAAAGGGTGAAAAATGCTTGCAGAAAGTTCAATGTCAACCCCATGGAAAACAATTCCTGTCCTGAGAGGATCACCCATCACTTGTCAATATGAAAGCTAGAACAACTATTGTAAGTGCGAAGAACATTGTAGCACAAGTGAACCACCATGGATATTGTTCTTTAGCACCCGGATTCTTGTTCTCTTCACTAGATAACCCAATGTCTTTCAGAAGGTCTCTCACTTCATCAATGTCTGAATCCTTTGCAGCTTGGATAAGTTTACCTTGAATTTTCTCAAGCTTAGTCAGCTTCGCGTCGGCTTGTCTTGACCAGATGAAACCTGTCACCTTCCACAAGAGGATCCCCACATAGATGGCTACAATGCAGTCTACAGAGTAATGATGGCGTTCTCTTATTTCTCTCTGAGCACTGTGTAATACAAGAAGCCATATAAAAGCTGAACTAACACCTCCATAAGCTTCCTGCAAATAGTTTCAGCTTCTTTAAAAATATAGAGAAGAAAAAGTCTCTCCTCACTCTAAGCTCAAAATTTTGGAAGTCACAAAAAGGATCAAGGTCCCATTTGGTTGGTAGAAAGAAATGGAATGTAATTGATTGAAAAATTCAAAACAAAAATATACTAAATCACCCTCTTCCCTCGTGATAAGCATGACAAAACTCAATATTATGTAATACAAATGTAAAAATCATTACCCTCTTTAAAAATCTCATAAATCATGACTCTCAATCCCATGAATTAAATTACCCTTCTCCCTTATGAATTTGGTTTACCCATCCCCTTTCACATTTAATCATCTTATTTTTACCTTTAATTTTTTTCAATTCATTCCATTCCATTTATTTCTACCAAACAAACAAGACCTAAGTAATACAGTCTTGCAATGAACTACATATCATACCGTCCAAGCCATAGCTGTAAGTACAGCAACAAGCATGTGGCCACTATATATGAGGTCATTGCACCCACCTTCAGCTTTCTTTAAGAGATTGTACCATTTAGATCCGTCTGAGGCTGTAGGTCGCAGAAAATCAATTAAAAAGCTCATTCTACCCCAATCTGGCTGGTAATCGATGGTAGGTTTTCCAATGTCAACTGGGAAGAACAGTACGTTAAGTATTTGCAGGATTTTCAGTGCAACAAAGAAAATATCAAAGAAAGCGGATTCAGAGATACCAGGACAAGCACAAATACAGGCAGGCACATACACACATTAATATCCATATACACACATTTAGAAGTCCAGGAAACTGTTTGTGCCCAATTCAACCCCCCAAAAAAGAAGGGCATCAATCCAGAGTGTACTGGTACCACACCTAACTCGCATTATTATCAATCATGAGATAAATCTAAACATCCATATTATAAATTTATTAATGTAATACAACAGCAACAGCAACAACAATATTATATTAATACCATATTTAAATAAATTTTAAAATTGAAATTTAATAATTATAAATTTTAATAATATATTTCTCTTTCATTTTCCAATAGAAAATATCACATGTAACTAGGCAAGGTGTTGATACATTGTAGGCAGCACTGAACTAACACCAGAAGTGCAAATCAGCTTTTTGATTTTTTTTTTAAAACAATTTTAGGAGAAAAAAATGAAACCAAATGGACTAATGCACTGCATACCGTAAGCTAAATCTTGTTTAATCAACTGGCTGATAGCATGATGGTCTGAAGCATAAGGAGCATAATATTTCTGAGCCCAAGGATGAGGATATGCTGCAATTCTGTACTTCATGGTGGCACACCAAGGCCTGGCTGATGGCACAATTGTAGATGCAAAAGTTATAACACGAAGAAGGCGACCAATTGCCATTGTAAACATATATCTTGCACCTAGTCCGAAGCCTGGAGCTTTTACAGAGTCAAACAACACAGAGAATGCCAGCATCATAAACAACATCAGGTAATGGTGTAGTCCAACAATACGTGCTCTTAATATGTCAACAACTAATTGAGGAAGTTTTTCATTTAATGCCAGGATCAACCACTGGCCAGTGTCTGGCAGAGGAGGTGTATTACTGTCACAAGTAAAAGAAGAAAATTAGTATCAATATTTTCTATGAAAATACTGCAGGAGTTTAAAGCGTTGCCAATGTGAAATAGGCTGAACACATACACTGCTTATGAAAAGAAATAGATATTAGCAACTAGTAATCACACACAAGTTGATTATTAGAAAAATTTCTTTTGTTGAAGAAAATATTGAACTGATTAAAAGAAACACGGGCCATGTTCATTTGAAAATCACAATAAAACAGGCTTAATGATTTTGCCAGATGGTTAAATAAGGAAACTTTTGAAGTCACTGAACATTGAGGTAGCTAGGCCCCAATACTAGTGAATTTACTTGGAACCTAGTTGCAGTTCCTACTGCAGAAATCCTGCCAATCACTCATCACTTCTCCAAAATGAGCTGTGAGCCATCTTCTGATGGGAACCAGAATTAGGGCTATTTTATCTTTATTTTAAGATAACTAAATTTTTAAATAGCTTTTATTTTTTTCTTGTGAGATTAGGAGTATCCCCCAACAGCAGCAAAGACTAATCTTTCTCAAAATACAGAGGGCAAATGGTGGATTCCCCGCAATTTGGTTAGCCCAAGGAGTTAAACACCTGAAAGCTTAAGAATCGAAATATCAGTCATTGCTTGAAGGACGAGAACCCCTAATACTCATGGTAACCTGAATTTTTTTTTTAAATAGTTATTTTAATTAGCATATTTAGATGATCTTTTAAATGAATATAGCTGGATGAAGACTTATAAGCTTTATCCTATTACTCTATCTTATTTAGGATTATCTCATTTTATCTTGGATAGTTTAGATTATTTTCATTATTTCAATACTCTGGGCTCCATAAGTAGCCCTTAGGTTTAGTTTAATGTAGACACCTTTTTGCCTATTGAATACCATAATTTTGAGAATTTGCAATCACTTTCCCTGTTTCTCTCTAATTCTCCCTCCTTACTTTCTATCTCTTCCTCTTCCTCTTCCTCCTTCTTCCCCATTTCTACCTTGTCCTACACCAATCTCTTACATATCGTAAGTGCTCTAAAGCTCAGAGTTGAACAACGATAGACCATGAAAATGTTTCATCCTTTGGAGAAAATATTATCTTGCTTTGGTTTTGTTAACTACAATATTAAGCATATGCTGCAAAAAGATACAAAGTGTACAAAAAAACCTCATTTATTTTATCTCCGCCAACAATGGTCCCTAATAAGCTTGAGTCCTCTCTAATGTACAGACTGGAAACCAACTAACTCAACGAGAATGGCCCAAGTTATTTTCAAACTCGAAATGTATGTGCTACTAGATCACTATCATTGTTGTTGTTGTTGTTCTTCTGCTTCTTCTTTTTACAACTCACTGTCATTGTTAAACTGTCATATTGTGGCCATTAATATAATATATCAGAGCTCCTTATAGTTATTGACTACACCTGAAATGAAAAGAAACTAGTTAAGCTACTCGTCCAAGATTTGTCTTAAATCCATATTTCTAACAAGATTTCAGAATCGCCAATACTGAATCCAAAATGTGAAACAGAAGCCTTAAAAAAATAAGGAAAAACAGAGAAAATAACTGACGCCACAAAATGTATTGTATTTACACGCAATTTGAAGTGTTGTCAGATGTTATACGAGTGACATTTATGAATTCAACACCATATATTTCTGATTACCAGATCCTCTACCCAGAATCCTGACAGATGAAGTAGCAAGTTTTATCAGAAAATTACATCGGCCTACATACTCAATCAGTGATGAAAAGTGGCCAAGATTACATAGTGCACTAAGCTTCAAAGAAACATACCGCAAGGCGCGGACCTAAATGGACTCAACAAAGTGGAAATGAAATTAAATTGATCTGCATATCATACAATTGTGTGCTAGAATAGCTGAAAATGAAGTTCATTTAATCCAATTCACGAAGGAAAGATCGTAATAGACACCAGAAAAAATACAGAGATATTTACCGGTGCCAATCGAGGCCGAGCACGGCAGTGACAGAGCGAACAGATATAACCTCTACAAGGAAAGCTGAGAGCATGAAGACCATGGAAGCGACGAACGGGATCGCCGCACGAAATTCAGCGGACCAGTGCTTGTAGAAGGGGATGCGAGATATGGCAATCAAGGCAAGGAGGAACCACAGAGCTGGTTGCAGCAGCGAGTGCCAGGTCGGTGATATGTGTCGGAGGTAATCGATGGCGACGTAGGACATGGCGGCGATGCCCAAGCCGCCAGATCTGGCCCCCGGCCACCGCATGGTTTTGACGGGACGGAGAGTCGGACTGTAGACTGGGGCTTATAGACAATGAGTGTTGAAGATGACTAAGTGGAATTAATTAAACAAGCGAGTGAGCAACAAGGATCCTCTCACAGGATAGGAATCGTTGGTGTCTCTGTTTGAAAACTTGCCGTTGGACCTTGGTCTGAGGTTGCCACAGTAGGTAAAGGAAAACTTATTCCTACAAAAAAAAATTATAAAATATATACCTCCAAACCATATAGATCATTTTTTTAAAAATTTTTTTAATTTAGAATAAAAAATATTAGATACATGTTACATATTTTTTAAATTACACCTTTCTCTTAATTAATAGAATTGTTTTAAATAAGCCAAATATTTATATTTATTATATTCAAGCATATGGTTAGAAAGATGTATTTTTAAAAAATTAATATTTTAATTAACTCTTTAAAAATATAAATTAATTAATAATAACATATATTATAATTAGAAAGAATAGCTAGTAATTCGTGCAAAAGCTCAACTTACCTAAAAAAATTTGGAGCTAAAAGTTAAATTTTTTTTTTCTATACTTTGAGAGCCATAAATAAAAGAGTTTGGCATGAATGTTCAAAAAAATTTTTTATGACAAATGCTGGAAACTTTTATTCAGAAAATGAAATTAACTTTAGTTTTAACTTTCATGTAGCTCTTACGAATTTTTTTCCCAAACTCATAGTCACAATTGCAAATGAAGTTTCAATATTCATTGTTTTGATTATTTTTTGAAAACGTTAAGCGAGAATAAATACAAGTAATTATTTTATATATTTTTCTTTTTGAGTTCATCCATCAATACTTAGGCTCTTTCAAGTTAAAGGTTCGCCCCTCAAGCATTAAAAAGTGAAATAATGTTGTCTCCTCATTAAATATCCGTAGATTGACCATTAATTGACAAAAACAATTTTAAAAATAGACTTGGAAAATTATAAAAAAACACTTTATAAAAAAATTAACACAAATTATATAAATTAAATTAAATTATAATTAAATCCCAATAACTAATATTATTCCTCATCCACATAAAAAATAAAAATGTCATTTTAACCAATTACTTTGATAAGCTACCATGTGATTATCATAACATCTTATTAAATATTAATATTTTAATATATGATAATTTAAATATTATTAGTTATCATTCTTCACAAACACAACTTGCTAGTCAAACTTTTAAGATATACAAATTTTAGATGAGGACTTATAAACTTTGAAGAAGAATCTATAATCTATCACACTATTTCAATTCACAAATCAATTAGTGTAAAAAATGCATTCGCTATAGATTTGAGAAACATTAGTTGAGTTGTTAATTTTTTAAAGAGGATTTATAAATTTTGAGTGAACATTTATAATGGGTAAATGAACAAATTGGTCCCTAAATTATAAGTTTAAAAGCATTTGAAACTTTAAACTAATCTTTTGTGTAATATTTTTTTTTTAACTTTTAAAAACAATACAATCTATCCTTTGTCTTTACTAAAAATTAACTTTGACCATTAGTTAATTAGAAAATGACAGAAAAAGACTTTAAAAATTATAGAAAATGGCCCAAAAAAATTATTGATCCTTTTATATAATTTTTTGGGGTCCTTTACTATAATTTTTAGGTCTTTTTCTTTTCTTTTTTTTTTTTGTAATTTTGAGATCTTTTTATATCATTTTTAGGTCAACTAACTAATCAAAGTTAATTTTTGTTAATGGCAAGTGTCAAATTACATTGTTTTCAAAAGTTAAAGAGAAATATTACATAAAAGATAAATTTAAAGTCCTAAATACTTCGATATCTAGAGTTTAGGGGCCAATTTGCTCGTACCCATTTATAAATGATAATGTTTAAATTATTAAATATTAAAATATTTATAAATAATAATAAGGCAAAGAACATTTCTCATCTAAATCAATAATTCTAAATCAATAAGAGGAGACACAATCTTCACAATTTGATATCATTCATTCTAAAACTGGTTATCTAATATGATGGAATGAACAATTATTCTAGCTTTAGTCCTTGATAATTTGTGATCGACAAAGTGCTTATTAACCACCAAAACTTGCAAGTCATGCTTGTGCATATATGTATATGTATGTATGCATGCATGCATGCTATTCAATGTGATAAATGTAATAGCAAACCTTATTGTACTTGGATGCACAATTTCTTTTCAACTCTTTCTTTTCCTTACCCATGACAAGAAGATCATATAACTATAAACAAACACTTTAGTTATCTTTGATGCATTGTTGCACATTGTGACACATGAGACATGCTTGTAATGTCTTTTAAAGTGAGATTCAAATAGGGAGTAACATAAGGTAGCCCATTAATACTTTTATATTTTTCCTTAATCAACTTGCCATATGCTACATAATTAATAGCATCATCAGTCACCACTTGAACAATAGTTTTAAGATCAATTCACTCAATCCCTTCACAAAACAATGAGAATAAAACCTTGGCAGTTTTTACTAAATATGAAGCATCAATATATTTTACTCACGTATACGTTGTTTTAAGCCTTTCCAAGGCATTGGATAGATCTGTTTAAAGCTTTCCAATATACAATTTTAAAATCTTAATAAAAAATTAATATTACTCATGTATAAAGCTAGAATGCAAATGTCTTAACACAAAGGAAACAAATTAATCTTCTAGCCCAAGTATCTTTCTCCTTTCCTTCCCTTGACCATGGCCCCATCATTTGAGAAAGTTGCCCCAATCTAGTGAAAATTCCTCGTATACAATTACACGGCTGTCTTTGGGGAGATGTATCACTTCTTGCTCTACTATGTCTTTGTTGAAGATGTCCATCAATTGAACAAAATGGTGGAGGGATGCGATAGTACAATCATAAAGAAAGACCTTTCTTTACAAGAACTATTGAAGATGAATCAAACTTCAAATTAGAAATGGCAAGTGTAATGCTTCCTACTATTTTAAATATCTGAGGGCTCCTGCAAATGTTGATCCAAGAGTTTATTGAGTTTCTATATATGAAATTGAAAAAGAAAAAAAATAGTCGTGGATCAAATAGCTAATACTATTGAATATATGGGAGATATGATGCAAATTATCTCAATAATTAGATAAAATAAAATGACTAGAGATTGAAATATTTTATAACACATGGGTATTGGAATGTGGAATTAGATACTAGTTTAACATGAAATTAGAGACTAGTTCTAATACCACATGCTATAGAAGTATAAAGTATCTAAATAGTTATACAAAATAGAATACCCATATTTTAATGAAATAGTTCAATTAAGAGGTACTTCCATGTTGATACATGGTCAGCACAAGGAATAACTTCTAATTACACTCACATTATAACAATCATTGCTATTTTGAAGGCCCATGAAATTGGAGAGTATTTGTGTGTAGTTATGAAATCAGAACTCTTGAATGTGTCAAATTCATAATTTTTAGACGAAGTCATCCTACAATAAACCTTCTCACACTATTTATCGTAAGTTGTACTAACCAACCAAACTAGCCATTTAGGTTACTTCATGTAATCACATAGACAAAATCATTTGTTTTTTTTTTTTAAAAATATCACTTTTCAACCAAACTATCACTACATGCTATAAAATACATCTTTTTAAAATATGTATTTATGATTATTGAGACTTCACACCTTACATACAATTAATGCTTTTAATGTGTTGTGTAACATCCTAGAAAATTAAACCTGATTAAGTTAAGTTAAATAAGATTAATTCAGCAAATTAATGTGGTATATTGTTATAAAGAGCTAATGAATGTGTTGGGTTGTAGTTTTAGCCCTAGGAGCGAAGTAGAGTTAGGACACCTGGGCCTCAAAATTGGAGGGAAAAAAAAGAGATGTCTTTGTGCCACATGCTGCAATGTACACATCGTATGTGTAGCACATGAGCCATTAAAACGTGAAGCAAGCTTTTCTTTATCACATGCCACGGTGTATGGATGAGATTTTATAGAAAAAGTCTGCGACAGAATTCAAAAAAGGATAATGAAACAAAGGGAAAACAAAGAGATGGGAATTTCCTCAACTAGGGCTTGCACATTTAAAGGGGCGTGAGAATTTCTAGGCCATCAAACATCAACGGAAAGATTCTAAAGCTCCTTCTCTCTCTTCCTCTTCCATTTTCTCTGGTTGAAGAGCTAGGGTTTGTGTTGGCATAATTATTTTTAGTTCATAATAACTATGGATCTAAATGTATTGACTTAAATAGAACTAATGAGAATTGTTTAGATTATTTGAACCTAGCATTAGTGGCTTTAAGAGTATTTGGTATGTGGAGGCCATAAATGGCTGAAAATGTCATTAAATGTAGTGGTTGATATGAGTATGATGTCATTAATGGTAATGTAGGAACTTATTGAAGCTAATGAGAGCTAACATGAGCCATTAAACCCAATGGTTATGTTTTTAAGTGGGAGATTGCGATTTTTGTGAGTTGGAAGTGTTGAGCCAAAGTGAGGGAATTCATCCTAATAAGGGAATTAATGATAGTTGATGTGATTAATTATGGATTAATCATCATTTGACACCATTTGAGTTTGAGAAGAGGTTTAGAAGAACTTGTATTGAGGGTGTCAAATGTTTGAGGTAACTGAAAAAAATTTAGTTTGTATATTTGTTTGTTAATTATTTATAGACATTTTATAATTGAATTGAATATACAAAAGAATGCAAATTATGGCATATTGTGTATGTTCAAAAAGTTTGTAGTGAAAAAAAACTTGATTGTGTGAAATGGTGTCTTATCCTTTGTTTAAGTATGATTTAATGAAATTATGATGGGAGTGAATAAGAATATGAAGAGTAATGAGTATGATACATGTATGCTTTGTATAAATTTGATGTTTGAGATTATGCATATTATAAACTTAATGCTTGAGAAATTATAGGCAAAGAACTTGATGGGTGATTGCATATCCTATGTTAAGTATGGTTGCATTGCATGATCATTTAAGGTAGGAGTTCACCCTAGGAAGACGAGTAGAAAATATTAAATCCAAATGGTAAGGCCATCATTCAGAGCTCGATGGCTTGCCTCTTATTTTATTTGTCCCACTTGTTTCTTGAGGGATTCAAACCTAACTAATCTCCTCCGGCTCATAAGAAAGCTATCTTAGGGA